AGGCATTGACATAGCTTGGACGGTATTTTCTTGTGAAAGCTAAGTATGAGTCCCAAAAGTGCATTTTTGGTGTTGACTACTTGACTTACTAAGTTGTTCTCGTGTGCCAAGTTTATGTATCGTGGACATATTTGTTTACTCTAGAAAAAAGTTACACCACGGTATGTAGGGTGCACTTGGGGCCTCATCCGCATGTTCTACTCCCACCGCGATCCCAGGCTCATCCTCGACAGGAAGCAAGGGAGCAGAAGGCACACCTTCGCTGGTACTGTCCCTCTTGATTTAATTATGGACAACAGTTATTATTAGTAATGTAAATTCCTGAATAGTAGTAATGATCTAAATATGTGGGCAGTGCAACAGAAATTCAGTTTCATGACAGTACTATCGTAATCTGTGATGTCCATCATTCGCTTCACAATTCTCTAATGCCACAAACTAGCAACCGATACCTCTAGAACTAACTGAAAAATATAAGGGAGTCAGGAAATACATCACTCAAGATTCGTGTTGTAAATTCTGTTATTGGGATTGACACTGTTACTAGTATGATTGACTAAAGCAGTGGCAATGATGCCTACAGATCTCGTCGAATATAGTAGTATCAGCCGCCGAATATAGTACCTACAGATCTCGTCGATTGCAATGGGGTAAGACAAGGGGTAGATCGAGGTTGTCCTCGGCGTTGTGGAGCGATACCTGGAGATTCACTCGGCCAGCGTCGAGGCGCAACACAGGAGAGGTCCCCCCGGGCAGCCCTACCGCCGGCGACGACACGACCAGGATTCCTCCAGTAGCCAAGGTCGCCCAGCTCGGTAGACCTAGGGGCAGAGATGGAAAGCTTCCTCCATAGCCAAGGTTGCCCAGCTAGGTACAGGATCTACACCGCCGTCGCCGTTGGCAGGCCATTAGGGTTGGGGATTTGTTCGACCCTCAGCCGTCGGGAACGTCGCGGCTCGATTTGGAAGAAGGAGATGACCGGTCAAAAATAAGAGGACATCGGGAGCAAAATAACTGAAGACAGGGGACTATTTTGTAAAAGAAGAGCGCACAGACCCCCCACTAGAATATGGGCCATCCATGTTGGATCCCATGGTCCAGGACGAGTTTTTCTATTGTTGTACCACAAGCTCGTTTTCTATTGTAGTCACTCCCGAATCTTGTTGGTTGCGGCAACTTCTACATGAGCTCAAGGTACCACCACACGTGCCACCGTGGTGTATTGTGACAACATCAGTGCATCATATCTTGCGAGCAATCCGGTTCAGCATCAACGGACCAAGCATATTGAGATCGACTTACACTTTGTTCAGGATCGAGTGTCTCTTGGTGAAGTATGAGTCTTA